GGTTGAATATAATAAAAAGAGAATCACCATTAGAGTTATTAAAGGTGAAGATGAGCAATGTTATGAGTCCTTCGTAGATATGTCTGTTGAGTTAGTAAACTATTTCACCAATCTCATTGGTTCTGCTTACCCATTAGTCAGAGGTAGCTCTGTTGAAAGCTTGAAGGGGCTGCTGAACTACTCCTTGCCTGATGGAGCAGTTGATTCCCTCATTAAGTAGGTGGATGATATGGAGATTAAAAAGGCTCTATTTAGGCAAGGGAATGATAAAAGTCTAGGTCTTGATGGTTACACTTCTGGATTCTTCAAGGCTGCCTGGGACATTGTTGGGGCTGACTTTGTTTCTGTTGTGAGGTACTTTTCCATTCCACTTGTTTGCTGCCAGCTTTCAATGCTACAACCTTAGTTTTGGTCCATAATTCCCTTAATGCATGCTTGGCAAAAGATTTTAGGCCTATCTCATGCTATTCAGTGGTTTATAAAACCATTACAATAATTCTTGTAAATAGATTAGTTCCTTTTTTCCCTGCCATGATCTCTCAAAGTCAGTCAACCTTTGTTAAGGGTAGGAATATAGTTTACAACACCTTGCTAGCCAGGAGATTATTAAAGGCTACTCTAAGAAGAGTCTCTCACCTAGGTGTCCTATTAAAATAGATTTGCAAAAGGATTTGACTCTGTTAATTGAGGATTTTTGCTGACTGTTCTTGAGGCTCTGGGTCTTCTTGGTGTTTTCTGTAATTGGATTAGGGCTTGCATTACTACTCCTATGTATTATGTCTTCTTAAATGGTAGTTTGGTGGGGGGTTTTTAAGGGAGCAAGAGGGATTAGACAAGGAGACCCTTTATCTCCTTACCTCTTTGTCATTGCCATGAATGTCGTGTCTTCCCTTTTGGATGCTGTTGCAAAACAGGAATTTTAGATTCCATCATAAGTGTAATATAATCCCTCTTACTCACCTCTTTTTACGGATTATTTGTTAGTATTTTTCCATGTATATCTTGATGCTGTGTTGGGAGTGCAAAGTACCTTAGAGAAGTTTTATAAGTTGTCTGGCCTTAAGTTGAATGCTCAAAGACTGAATTTTTGCTTGTGGATTGAATGAACACACTGTTGAGCAGATTTGTTTGGCCATTGGGTTTAGGCTGGGGCAGCTCCCTGTTAGGTACCTTGGGGTACCTCTAGTGACTAGAAAACTCACAGGCAAAGACTATGCAACTTTGTTGGCTAGGGTTAAAGATAAGTTCAGCCAATGGTCTAACAAAAAGCTTAGTTTTGGAGGCAGACTGTAGCTTGTTAAAACTGTTTTGTTTAGTATTTTTAACTACTGGAGTAGAAACTCATACTTCTAAGGGGGTTATTAGGGACATAGAGAGGCTTTGTATGCGTTTCTTTTGGAAGGGCAGTGACATCCCAGCCAGAGGAGCCCGTGTGGGCTAGAATCAGATTTGTTCCTTGAAGTCTGAGGGTGGCTTGGGACTTAGGATCTTGTGGTATGGAGCAGAGCTTGTTGTTTGTTGTTAGTTAGGAATATTTTGGCAAATGAGGGTTTACTGTGGATTGCATGGATTAAAGAATAATGTTTTAAAACAATGATTACTGGGAGGTTGATTGTAAACCCCACTTCAGCTGGATCTTGAGCAAGCTGCTTAGCATGAGAGAGGAGGCTAGGAGATTGTTCCATCCTTGTCCTAATTGGAATCTAATAAAAGGAAGATGGATCTGGGACAACATTCGAAACAGTAGAGGGAAAGTTACATGGCATAGGCTTGTTTGGTTCCCTGATCATATTCCCAAATTCTCTTTAATCTCATGGATGGTCATCCTTGATAGGTTGCCTACCAAATATGGGCTTGTTCGGTTTGGGTTGATTGTTGACAATGTTTGTGGGATGTGTGGGACTGGTTTGGAGTCTCTGGATTACCTCTTCGCAGACTGTCCTTATACAAATGAAGTGTGGGGTACTGTTATGATGGATTGTGGTCTTTCACATGAGGTACATAGCTGGGATGAGAACTTCCATTGGCTGCTCGTTAATCTGAAGGGAAAATCCCTTAGGGTGCGTTTGGTTCACGGAATGTAAGATTACCAGTGGGAATAAAAGATTACCAGGGAATAGGATTACTGGAATGTTGTATTTTGTGTTTGGTTGGTTTAGCAGGAATGTTAGATTACCGTGTTTGGTTAAAGGAATAAAAGATTATTGGGATGTATATTTGACCAAATTATCCTTATTATATATTTGTATAATATTACAAATTGTAAAATATTTATATATTTTCTTTAAAAAATTAAATTCATAATATTTATATAGTTTTTTTACAAAATTAAAAATATAAAAAAAGGTTTAATGAAAGGGTAAAAAAATTTAACCCCTGAACTTCATATAAAATTTTAATTATAGATTTTTTTTTGTAAATCTAAATAATTTAAGGATAAATTTGTAATTTAACCTTCGTATAATTTTTATTATTCAATGACAGAAGAAGGATATTTTTGGAAAAAAATAAAAATTTAAGGGCATTTTAGTCCAAAACGCCGGTAATGTTACAATACCTAAGGGAAGGGAGGTAATGACATTCCCGGTAATATAACCCAAAAAATCTACTATTGGTAATAAAACATTACCGGGAATAAGATTCCCGACCAACCAAACATGGGAATGTGGGATTCCCATCCATGGGAATCCCACAATCCTTGAACCAAACACCCCCTTAGAGTACGTATTCTTAAGCTTGCGTGGACTGGATTTCTCTACTTTATCTGGGAGGAACACAATCATAGACACTATAGGAGTTTGTCTCGTTCGGTTGATGTAATTATAAATAGGCTAAGGGAGGTTGTGAAAATTAAACTGTATAAACATGACATGTATAGGCTTGATGATGTAAATAGGCAATTGTGCATGAATTGGGGTCTTGTCTAGCTGTGGTTTGTTATGTTTTGTAGCAGCTAGGCTGCATTATTTTGGATGAATATAATTTACTTATCCAATTTTTTTTTTGTAGTTCAATGACCAAAGTGAGACAATATTTAAATTCAACGACTAACAGTATAATTTATTCAATTATTTACGTTGCCCGTGTTGTCAACTAAAACAATTAATGATCCTTAAACGGCTCAATGGCAGACTTAACGGGTCAGTGACTCCGTTCCTAGTATTCTAGGGTAAACTACGCAGTTAGCGATTAGATTATCACTTTTAGTTCATTTTAATATTTAAACTTTTAAGTTTTTTAAAATCATACCAACATTTAGTTTCCATTTCATTTTAGTACCCATCGTTAAAAACTTAATGCTTTTAGTACCTAAACTATCAGTTTTGATCTATTTTAGTACCTAAACTTTCATTTTTTTTTCAAAACTTAACGTTAAAATTTTTGAACGGGATACTAAAATGAAACAAAAACTAAAGTTTTTAACGGTGAGATACTAAAATGAAATAAAAACTAAACTTTAAGTATGATTTTTTTAAAAAATTGATAGTTTAGATACTAAAATAGATCACAATTGATAGTTTAGGTACTAAACGCCGTAATTTACTCAATATTCTACTATATTAAAATATTTATCTATTTATATCATAATTTTCATATTTTATTACATTTTTACAACATTTTATTTATATATTAGTGTTTTAATTAAAAGATTTTATTGTTTCAAAAACTTGTTTTGAGTTTTTTTTATTAATCTGGGTAAATATAAGGTAGAATCTCTTCAAAGATAACTCTTATCCATTTGACATTGAATGTTCATACTCCTGACATTTTTTGCTTAAAGTTGGGACCTCTAAGAATAACAATAATTTTTACCCCGAGATCACTCTATTCGTGAAAAAAAAAGCTAAAAAAAAGTAGGATTTATTGGCACGATATAATTTTTTTAAGTTTCATATTTATGGAAAAAAGAAATATTTTTTTATTAATTATTTTTTTAATCTCAACCATTAAATTAAGTTAATTAAATTAATTCAAATTTTAATCATTTTAGTTATGTTTCTTTTAACTTGGTCATAAGATTTTTTAGCATCAATGATTTATCTTATTATTTATTGTTTTAGCATATTTATTTATTATTAATAATTATTATTATCATTACAAATTTTTTTATTTCATTTATTTTAAAAATTGTGGTAACATATGTTTTTTTTAATAATGTACTGATTTTTTAGTTGTCGTAAGAGTGTTTTAACATTTTCGTACGCGCCAATAATCTTTAGAGCAGATGATTAAAAATTTTCATTTGATACTTCCACTCTCTCTTAAGATGTGAGTTTAATATTTATTATAAATAAAATTATTTTTTAATTTATAAGGGGTCAACCATACCTAACTTAAATTAATGAACGATGATCAACAAATAATATTAAAAAATATTTTCAAATTAAAAAACGATTTCGAGAACTATTCTCATAATTTTTGCTGTATTTCACACTATTAATTTTCCACACGCGATGAGGTTAAGAAATAAAAAAGATAAGCTTTCATAGTTCCATTGATTAGGAACCGGAAATGTTTTCATTTTACACGTAGAGGCCAAACAAATCTTTAGCTGTATTTATAACATCTTTTATAAATAAAAATGTTTTCAAATAATATGGAGGGTGAGAAATCATTAGATATGGCGCTTTGCCTTTAGCTTCAATGGATTGAAACTGAAGCTCCCCGCGCCAAAAGGCCAATCAGAAAGGGTCCCCCACATTTCATTTTCAATCCCCCCCAGTTCTTCACTGTTTAAATGCAGCTGCAAACCACCTTTACTTTGTGCAAAAATTCAAACTTTTTTCATTTTCATCTGGCAAAAGTAAAAAAAGAAGCAGCTTACTAGTTTATTGTTTTCTTCTATTTAAGGTTTGAAAGAAATGGACGACTCAATTTGACAAACAAGCACATAAGCAGCTAACTTTTTGGTTTGGTTTTGCTTGTCTCCGTCTCCTTGTTCATTTTTTTTTCTCGAGAGTAGACTGTACAAGATAAAGAATCCTGTGAAAAAGGGCATTGCTTTTGAGTGTGAGCAAGAGTGTTATTTGTTCTAAAGTTGTTTTCTTCTTGGCCATGGCCATGGATTCCAACTACTCCAAGCTTCCTGTAATGCTGAATGCTTTGTTGGTTGTTCTGTTAGCTTCCTGGGTTTGTTCAGTTTCTGCTTCTGTTTCATATGATCATATAGCTATCACCATTAATGGCCAAAGAAGGATCCTCCTTTCTGGTTCCATTCATTACCCAAGAAGCTCCCCTGAGGTAAACTCATGCATTTCCCCATCTATTATGTTTAAATGAGCTATGCATATTTTCAAGCCTGTGTATCGTTCTGACAATCTATTATGTTTAAACGAGCTATCTTTTTTCCTGAATTTGGGGGGGTTTCTTTGGCAGATGTGGCCAGATCTTATACATAAGGCTAAAGAAGGAGGGCTAGACGTGATTCAGACATATGTTTTTTGGAATGGACATGAGCCTGCACCTGGGAAAGTAATGGAAAAAACACTCTATTTATGTCACAGAGCTTTGTGTTTTTGGTAATGGCATAAAAAAACTGAAACTTTCTAATTTTGGTTATTGTAGTATTACTTCGGAGGCAACTATGATTTGGTCAAATTTATCAAGCTGGTGAAGCAAGCAGGTCTCTATGTTCATCTGAGGATTGGTCCTTATGTCTGTGCTGAGTGGAACTTTGGGTAATGCTAAAAATATATTTTTTAACAAGTATAAAGAAATTCAAGATAAAGTGCAGTTCAAGCAATCTCTTTTATGTTACTTCTTCTTCAGGGGTTTTCCTGTTTGGTTGAAGTATGTTCCCGGTATCAGTTTCAGAACGAACAATGGACCTTTTAAGGTTAGCCAATGCCCATGCATCTACCTGAAGCTTCAATGTATTTGTTTTTATTTAATTTCTAGTTTAATCTTGTATTTTACTAACTAAATCGCTGTATTGAAGGCTCAAATGCAAAGATTTACAAAAAAGATTGTGGATATGATGAAAGCTGAAAGGTTGTTTGAGTCTCAAGGGGGTCCTATTATTCTATCTCAGGTAGGCAAATTGGGAGAAATTTTTTTGATCTGGAAACTGTTTTTTGTTTAATTGTCACTTCATTGGAATACAATGACGAACCAAGACATATGCCATTTATAATGTTTTCTTTCGACAGATTGAGAACGAATATGGGTCCATGGAATACGAACTCGGTGCTCCTGGTAAAGCTTATAGTTATTGGGCAGCTAAAATGGCTTTGGGACTAGGCACTGGTGTCCCCTGGGTCATGTGCAAGCAAGATGATGCTCCGGACCCTATTGTATGTATGCTTTACATTTGATCTGCTTAACCTTTTCTTGTCATGTTCTGTACTCGGTCTTAATGGATATCATGCTATGTTCAATCTTCTTTAGTGGAGTTTGCTAGTCATGGTTGAAATGAGTTATTATTTCTCTTTGCACATGAGTACATCACACAGGTTCTCTTTCATAATCCTGTCTGTTAAAGTGTCTTTATTTTATTGCTTTTGGATTTTCGTTTTTCGGTTTCGTAGTCATATGCCGAGGACCGCGTTCCTTTCATCAATTATTATTGCGCCCGTTTGAGCTTACATAGTTCGTGGTGTTGGCGAAAATTACGTCTACTTTTTCAATACTTTGAGATGTCAAAGCAGTAGAGTATTTCTAAGCTGATATCCAGTTGTGTTGGAGCATGAGGGATAGATATTTGATCGAACTTTTTGGTTTACGGAATAAGCTAGTCTTATCATGTTTCGGGTCATGGTGAGGTGTTTACTTTGAGTTATTCATTTTTATTTTTCTCAACATGTGTTTTCCTCAAACAGATTAATACCTGCAATGGTTTCTACTGTGACTACTTTTCTCCAAACAAGGCTTACAAACCGAAGATGTGGACTGAAGCCTGGACAGGCTGGTAGGCTCAAGTTTGCCTTTCCGAGGGATTATCTTCCGTGGCTCTTCCGTGCAAGTTCATGTTAATAATGTCTTCTATCTGATCGTTCTTTTTATTTTGCGGTGTAGGTATACCGAGTTTGGAGGGAAAGTTCCTTACAGACTTGCTGAGGACTTGGCATTTTCAGTTGCAAGGTTTATACAAAAAGGAGGATCATACATTAATTATTATATGGTAACTTTTTTTCCCGTTTACCAAGTTCGATTCCGGAAGAGTGAGTCTTATAACTGTTCTATGTGTTATCAGTATCATGGAGGAACAAATTTTGGCCGAACTGCCGGGGGTCCTTTCATTGCTACTAGCTATGATTATGATGCTCCTCTCGATGAATACGGTATGCAAAAAGTGTCGACGGTGCATTTTTTAAGGTTGCTATGCTCCTTGAGATTGTTTTGAAGGAGAAACAATTCTTTTCATGCAGGATTAAAGAGGCAACCCAAGTGGGGACATTTGAAAGATTTGCATAGAGCTATAAAGCTTTGTGAACCAGCTTTAGTTAACGGGGATCCGATCGTACAGCGACTTGGAAACTTTCAGGAGGTTAAATACTACTCCTATTTCTAAGAACCTTAATCCTACTCTGAATCAGTTTGTACATAGAACTTACTATAAATGCCATTCTAAACATACAGGCTCATGTATTCAAATATAAGGCCGGAGGTTGTGCTGCCTTCCTTGCAAATTACAACCCGAGAGCTTACGCAACAGTTGCCTTTCAGAACAAGCACTACAACCTGCCCCCTTGGTCCATCAGCATTCTTCCCGATTGCAAGAACACCGTGTATAACACTGCAAGGGTGAGGATAAAAGATTTGATGAGCTTCTAATCAGTTTTAGTCCGGTTTTAACATTTATAAGAATCTTTCCTCATAGGTTGGAGCCCAAATTGCACGGAAGAAAATGGTTCCCGTTCCCATGCACGGGGGATTCTCTTGGCAGGCATACACTGAAGGGACTGCATCCGATGCTGATGGTTCATTCACGATGGTCGGTTTGTTGGAGCAGATAAATGCAACTAGAGATGCAACTGACTATTTGTGGTACACAACAGAGTAAGTTGTGAATGTCAATACCTGATCTCGATTTGTATAATCTGTCTTTATTAGATTCAGTCATCATAAAGCATTATAAAGTAAGAATCTAATGAACTCTTTTAATTTATTGCCTGTAATTTGACTTTCTGGTGTTCTTTACCTTTTGTTTCCATTCCCAGTGTTAAGATTGACTCCAATGAAGGATTCTTGAGGAATGGAAAATCTCCTGTTCTTACCGTCTTATCAGCCGGCCATGCTTTGCATGTCTTTGTCAATGATCAACTATCAGGTGTGTTTGTCGTTGCTTTTAGATTACTTTTAGACCAGTCTTGAAGAAAGGTGCACTAAGTCGACAAAGACCGTATACGTATTTGGTTTATCTTTTGAACTACTTAATAGAGGTCAACAGTGATGTTTTGGCTTGCAGTGCCTACTTGTTTAGTTAGTATGTTGTCCCCTGATATTTTGCTTTCTTCTTATTCGAATTTCAGGAAGTTCCTATGGAAGTTTAGAATTCCCGAAACTAACATTCAGCCAAGGCGTTAATTTGAGAGCTGGTATCAATAAAATTTCGCTTCTAAGCATTGCTGTTGGTCTCCCGGTATGTGCTCTCACTCTCAGCTGGCAGCTTCATGCTGGTGGATATTGTTTACGAGATGCTGATCTTTTGGTTTCAATGCAGAATGTTGGTCCACATTTTGAGACATGGAATGCCGGTGTTCTTGGCCCGGTTACACTGAATGGTCTCAACGAGGGAAAGAGGGATCTCTCGTGGCAGAAATGGTCTTACAAGGTCTTTTCCTTGTTATGTTAGTTTTTATTCTCCGGTTACCCCGATGTGCTAGATAGTTGATTGGTTATTTATCCACTTGCAGGTTGGCCTTAAGGGAGAGGCCTTGAATCTTCATTCAATAAGTGGTAGTTCATCAGTGGAGTGGGCACAGAGGTCGTTTGTCACACGAAGGCAGCCACTTACATGGTACAAAGTACGTATATCGAAATAAAACCGATAATATCGTTCTTATAAAAAGATATAGAACTTAAAATGCATCTGAATGCCTCCTTTAGTCTGATTTTGCTGATACTATTTAATTTTGCAGACGACTTTCAATGCTCCGGCTGGAAATTCGCCATTGGCTTTAGATATGACTAGTATGGGAAAAGGCCAGATTTGGATAAATGGAAAGAGCATCGGACGCCACTGGCCTGCATACAAAGCTTCTGGAAATTGTGGTGTATGTAGTTATGCCGGAACATTTAACGAGAAGAAATGTGGAACTAACTGTGGAGAGGCCTCTCAAAGATGGTAATTAGAACAAACTATAATCCACTTCACAGTTGATACGGCGTTTTCGGTAGGCTGACTCGTGGCTGCTCATTTGATATAGGTACCATGTTCCTCGTTCATGGCTCAATCCAACAGGGAATTTGTTGGTTGTGTTTGAGGAATGGGGTGGAGACCCGAATGCAATTTCTTTGGTACGCCGAGAGACCGACAGTGTCTGTGCTGACATCTATGAATGGCAACCGAACTTAATGAACTATCTGATGCAAGCCTCTGGTAAAGTCAACAAACCCCTAAGGCCAAAAGTGCATTTGGAGTGCGATGCCGGGCAGAAAATCTCTGCAGTAAAGTTTGCCAGCTTCGGAACACCGGAAGGTGTTTGCGGAAGCTACCGCGAGGGAAACTGTCATGCACACCACTCTTATGATGCATTTAACAGGGTATGACACTTTCTTACACCATTTCATCATCTTTTTCAGTTGAAATAACAAATAATATACCAATGGCACCATGAACATTGTTCTATCTTTGTGCTTTCAGCTATGTGTTGGGCAGAACTTCTGCACCGTAACCGTAGCACCTGAGATGTTCGGAGGAGACCCGTGTCCTAGTGTCATGAAGAAACTCTCCGTGGAGGTCATTTGCAGCTGACCGAACACGTCGAAAATCGCCGGAATAAACAACCATCTTCTCTAAGTCCACACACCAAGATTGCAACCATTTGTTCTGGCTTTTTTGCAGGGTCAAGTTGTACAAACACACAACACCCTCCCGGCAAGAAGCTCATTAGATTGTGAAATGATTGCAGAATAAGCTCTATGTATATATACACATATGTTTGTTCCTGCATCATATATCAAAGAAGTGATCGGAACCGAGTCCGTGCGCAAAGTGTTGTATTATTTAGGATAACAAGAAAACCTCTGGTTTCTACTAGTAAAAGTCTTGTAATATATATTTGAAGTCACTGGGAAGCAATCTGTTTCATTGCTTTGTTCTCGTAGGGACAGCTTGAGAAGATAATAAAACCATGTCTTTCATCGTAATTGAGTGAACTTTATAATTAATAGGCATAATATTCCTATTATCTCCCAAGATTAGATCAAAATGATTATTTTAGATTCAAATATATATTTTTTTGGAGTATTTTTTAGGACAAAAAGGTCTTCTATGATTGAAAATTGTTACTTAATGCTATAAAATAGGAATACTTTTACCTTAAAATGAGACATTGAGAGTCAAAATATTCCAAATAAATAAGGATTAAAATGATTATTCAATCAAATGTTATAGATCTTTTTAACCTAAAATAAGATGTTGAAGACAAAATAAGAACAAAAAATATAGACTAAAATGATTATTTTAATAACGTTGATGATTAATTTTATTATTATATCTGTCGCAACCGGTTTTCGTCCGGGCACGAATTTTTTACTTGGCAGGAAAAGTGATATGAATAAATGGTTTTTAAAATAAAATAATTTGGGAGTCGCCATCGGCCTTTTAGGTCAGGTAGGTCGAATACCTAAAAATTTTCTTTTAAAAGAGTTTTAAGAAAACATCAGTTAAAAGATGAACTGATCTGCGTTTATAACCAAAAATTCGTTCTTTTTAATAAAAAAGGGATTCGTGGTCGGTTACGTTTAGGGAAGGATTAGCACACCTACAACGCCCAAAATTGGTACTTTTTAATTATAAATTGTCTCTAATAATTAAAAAAAATCAAAATATATTTAATTTATAATCCTATTATTTTAAGATTATAACTATGAAAAATATACATTAATTTATATATATATTTATAAAAATATTTTTTATTTATAAATATCAGAAAAGGACTTCTAGGTGCCTTAAGACAGCTATTTTCTTTGATATTAATAAATAAAAATAAATATTAAAATTTTAATAATTTTAATAAAACTAAATTATAATTTTTATAATGTTTAATTATTTAAAATACCAGAATAGAACATCCAGTTGTTTTAAGACTATCATTTTCTTTGATATTGAAAATAAATAAACATTATTATTTAAAAGAATATAGGTACATATTTATATGAATAAAATAATTATGAAAATAATGATTTAAATATATAGAATTAAAATATAAATAAACAATGAGTAAAATAAATAAAATTAAAATTAAATATAAAAAGTAATAAAACTTATAATTAAAATTAGTGACTAAATTATGACATATCAAGATTAAATGTTCTAGTTTAAAATATTATGAAAACTAGGTGTTACTAATGTAATTAATCCTTAATTAATTAATTAGTGATTAAAATATAAAATATTATAATCTGAGGGACTAAATATAATATTTACCCTAAACATATAAATATACTGGCCAGGACTAAAATAAAAATAAAATAAGATTCGAATAAAAAATTAAAATGTCCAGAAAATCATTCCAGTGACTAAAACGTAAAAGTTACAAACTCAGATGGCTTAGTAAATGATTTTACCATGCGCGAAATTACACATACACCCTCATCGAAACGACGTCGTTTTGATGAGGGCATAAAAACCCTATAACCGGCCCTTAAGGGCCAAAGCTTTTCATTTTATTTCTTTTCTTTCTCTCTTAGGAGAGAATTTCTCCCCCTTCTCTCTAAAATCATCCACCGGGGGAGAGAACCGGCCGCCTCGCTCCGGCGATAACCGCCGCCGCCGGCCACAACGGTGGCCGGAAAACTCAAAATACACCAAAATGTAGATCTTCACTTCCTAAGGCCGAATACGACCTCTATTTATCTTAAAAGCCCTTAGAATTTCCTATATCTAGGATTTTACCTTCGAAGTTCGAAGGTTTCCGGCGACGTTTCGAAAGCCTCCAATGACAGAGTAAGCTCTCTATTCTTTTCTTCTCTTTCTGTTATATTAGATGCTGTGGGTTCGTATTCTTGTTGTTGTCTGTTATTGGTGGTTTCTTCTTTTTTCTGTGTTTGGTTTTTTTTTTCTTCTGTTTTTCTCGGTATCCCTCAGTCGCTCCTCGTTTGCAGGTTTGGGTGGTGGCTTTTATAGCCACCACAGTGTTCGGCTCGGACCAGTCCAAAGGGGGAAGCTTTGGTGAGTCACCAAACTATTATGGTGAGTCACCCCTAGAGCAGTGACGTGTGTTGCTTCGTGGCGGTTCTGGAGACTTCGACGATGGTGGTGCCGTGTTGAGGCACCAACGTGGAGGGGTTGTTGTGTGGTAGCTGAGGAGTCTGGAAGCTTGGAGCGGCGGCGTGGTCCCTAGGGTTATCATAACCCTAGGGTTCTGGTTGGGGATCTATGGACCGTTGGATCTTGCTAGATCCAACGGTGGAAAAGCAAGGCGGCTGGAGAAGAAGATTGAACCCTAATCTATTTAGGGTTTCCAAACTTGGGCTGGTTCGGTTGGGCTTCTCTGATTTGGGTTTGGGTTCTTGTAATTGGGCCTTGTGATTTAATATTTGGGCCTGTAAAATAAATAAAATTATTTAATACTAATAATAAAATAATTATAATTATAATTATTATAATAAAAATAATAGAACCGGGATAAAAATTTAGTGTCTTCAGCTGCCCCTCTTTGCCCATTCCTGTATTAACAAGAATAGGGCAAAGACGAAAAGACAATAAATTTTTATTCAGTTGATTTCTCTTAATTAAGAGGGCAATGTTGAACAAATTCTTCTCATTATGAACTCTTTCTTCCTTCTTCAGATGAGTTCTTCTCATTATGAACTTTCTCTGGAAAAGTTGATCCATCGAATGATGAATTCGAGCGAAAAGTTGAACAAGTTCTTCTTATTATGAACTTCTTCTTCTTCTTCAGATGAGTTCTTCTCATTATGAACTCGCCCTGGCAATGTTGATCTATCGAATGATGAATTCAAGCGAAAAGTTGAACAAGTTCTTCTCATTATGAACTTCTTCTTCCTTCTTCAGATTAGTTCTTCTCATTATGAACTTTTTCTGGAAAAGCTAATCCATCAAATGATGGATTTGAGCAAAAGGTTGAACAAATTCTTCTCATTATGAATTTTTTCTTCCTTCTTCAGATGAGTTCTTCTCATTATGAACTTTTTCTGGAAAAGCTGATCCATCAAATGATGGATTTCGAGCGAAAAGTTGAACAAGTTCTTCTTATTATGAACTTCTTCTTCCTTCTTCAGATGAGTTCTTCTCATTATGAACTCGCCTTGGCAATGCTGATCTATCGAATGATGAATTCAAGCGAAAAGTTGAACAAGTTCTTCTCATTATGAACTTATTCTTCCTTCTTCAGATTAGTTCTTCTCATTATGAACTTATTCTGGAAAAGCTAATCCATCAAATGATGGATTTGAGCAAAAGGTTGAACAAATTCTTCTCATTATGAATTTTTTCTTCCTTCTTCAGATGAGTTCTTCTCATTATGAACTTTTTCTGGAAAAGCTGATCCATCAAATGATGGATTTGAGCAAAAGGTTGAACAAATTCTTCTCATTATGAATTTCTTCTTCCTTCTTCAGATGAGTTCTTCTTATTATGAACTTTTTCTGGAAAAGCTGATCCATCAAATGATGGATTTGAGCAAAAGGTTGAACAAATTCTTCTCATTATGAATTTCTTCTTCATTCTTCAAATGAGTTCTTATCATTATGAACTTTTTTCTGGAAAAGCTGATCCATCAAGTGATGGATTTGAATCTTTGCTAAAATCTTTGAAATTCCTTCAGAATTCAACATGGATAAAATGAATGAAAATGCACCTATTTTTGCAAATGTCTAAATATGATGCATGAATGTTTATGCAATCTTCATTTGACTTCAAAATGGTGAACTCGGTTTTCCTCCACTTCATCATTTATTGCCAGGTTCACCTCTGGATATCAGTGTAGCAACTTATGCTATCAAGCTTGCATTTCTGAAGAACCATCTGATCAACTTGTATCTTTATGTCTTCTTTGCTTCATGAAAGTCTCAGAAGAATTGTTTCATTTGTGGAACTCTTGTCGTAGTCAGAACTATGACCTTGATGCCCCATTTTGTCTTTGATAATATCGGCTTTCTTTGCTTGGACTTGTGTAGAAATCCAATAAAGCTTTCATTTTTGAAAAGAGAATCTGTCATCTTTAAAGAGAGAATCTATCATCTTTGAAGAATGTAGATGTAGATATGTTTGACTCAGCAGGGATTAATTAGGAGAGTAGAGTCTGTTCTGATTTGACTCTTGAAACATATCACAAGGAGGATTTATCTTAATTCCTTTCATGTCTCCACATCTAATCCAATCTCGAATACGGCAACTTGGACCATATCATGTCGAGATGTTTAACAACAACCTGTCGTTCAACCTTAGTTGGTGCCACTAGTTTCTTGTTGTTAAAATTTCTGCTTCTCTTCTATGGAAAGAAATCTTCATTATATCTCACTTCTAATCTTGGGGTGGAAGAAGACAGACTATCAATAAATGGAAACCATATGATCGTAACATTGGTTCAACATCAGAATAGCATGTTCGTAAAACATTTGACGGCGCATTCATCCTTTCCTGTGGCTTCTGCTCAGATGTTCGTAAAACATTTGACAAGACATTCATCCTTTCCTGTAGTTTCTGCTCAGATGTTCGTAAAACATTTGACAACACATTCATCCTTTCCTGTGGTTTCTGCTTAGATGTTCTCAATCATTGAAGCTCTTTTTCCTAGTGTTCAAAGCTTTTGAATGATGTCACAAGACCACTTGAGAACAAAACTTAATAGGAATACAAATGAGATGCTGATATGACCAAAGAGTTGATCAAATTTTCAAGATATGCTAGTGATGAATTGAATAAGAGATACCAATTGATCTTGATATTGTCTCAGGCAAGGGTAAGTGTGATATTGATCACGTTTTCTTCTGTAATGAGCGTTGTAGGAATTAGAAACACACCCACTATAAGAGCCATGTATGGAAAGATATCCGTAGAATTCTTGATGCTGGGGATGAAACGCACATGATAAACCAAATAGATGAAAACTCGGTTCAGTCTAGCTGGCAATGATAACCCAGTAACATCGGGAAAGAGCAATATAAATGAGCTTC